TTTTGGTTGCTGAGTAATATTCCATTGTGTATATGTACCACATCTTTTTAATCCAGTCATCTACTTTTGGGCATTTGGGTTGTTTCCATGTCTTTCCAATCATAAATAAAGCAGCAGTAAACATAGGGGTGCAGGTGTCTTTTTGAATCAGTATTTTTACATCTTTTGGGTAGATACCTAGGAGTGGGATTGCTGGGTCACAGGGAAACTCCATTTTTAGCAGTTTGAGAAACTGCCAAACAGTTTTCCATAGTGGTTGTACTAGTTTGCATTCCCACCAGCAGTGCAGGAGAGTTCCTTTTTCTCCACAGCTTGAGGCTGGATTTTTTTTTTAATAAAGATTTATTTATGCATACAGAACTAGGGTACAAGCCAGCAGTGTAGGGGTGGTGAGAGGATTCATCAGATACAGAATGGCAGAATGATGTGGTATACTGCTGAGGGAAGCAGCAGTGAGACATTGAGAGGTCTGCTGCTCTATGTGGATCATCTCTGGGGCCAGGGATGGAATTTGCACTGAAGTGGCTGTGGCTAGCTTGCAGTGCTGTGCTTTAACCTGCTGCACCACCAGGGAGGCCCTGAGGCTGCATTTTTAATGAACATACAGGATCCATTTATACTAATGGATGATGTCACTTTAAAGTGTCAGCTTGGGATGGAATTCATCTATTACTGTAAGGTTGCCATTGTTGAAGGGACTTTGGAGGTCTTACAATACTGTCTTCAAGATCACTGTACAAGGTATAGAAGAAAGCCAATCTCCTGGCACTTTGTTAACAGTTTTGAAACAAATGCCATTTCTCAACCCCTAAAGAAAATGTAATCACTGTACCTGCTTTTCTAGAGAAGCATTTATATTTTCCAACAAAAGAGTGTCAAGTTCTTTTTTTTTAATTCTTTTTTTTGAAGATTTATTTATTTATTCATACAGAATTGGGGTACAGGCCAGAGATGTGGAGGGTGATAAGATTCACCAGAGACAGAACGGGGAGCAGAACAGGCAGATCGATGAAGTACACTGCTTAGGAGAGCACCTGGCAGGCCAGGAGGGGTCTGCCTCACCATGTTGTCACCTCCGGGGCAGGTGGGGATCTAACTCATGCGGAAGTGGCTTTAGCTTCTCGCTGCTGCGCTTTAACCAGCTGCGCCACCAGGGAGGGCAAGAGTGTCAAGTTCTTATAGAAAAAATTACTACATCTTTAAAGAGTAAAAGATGAAAAAATAACAAAGAATATTCCAAAGAATGGGCTATAGAGCCCAAAGGTAATTCTAGGACAGGAACTTTTTAAAAAAAGATTTATTTATTTGTGCATACAGGACTGGGGTATAGTCCAGAGGTGCAGGGGTGATGAGAGGCTTCACCAGAGACAGAGTGGAGAGCAGAACAGGCAGATTGATGAAGTATACTGGTGAGGGGAGCAGTGGGTGGGTCAGAAGAGGTCTGCCGCACCTTGTGGGTCACCTCCAGGGTGGGGATTGAACTCATGCTGAAGTGACTTTAGCTTCTTAGTGCTATGCTTTAATCTGCTGTACCACCAGGGAGGCCCTGTATTTAACTTACAAAAGTCTACTTAGGATAGGCTCTCCCTGGTGGTGCAACGGGTTAAAGTACCACTTTATGA